TTGCTCTGAAATTTGTACACACTACTTTTAGATACATTATCTGAAGAGTAGCAATGGATTTTTGCGATTACTTGATTAGTTTTTTTTTTTTATTGACGATTTTTCTCGTGAAATTTCGGTGAAAAATAATAAAAAAATTTCTTTGGCTCACCATAATATTCTTAATGGTAAAAAAAATCCAATTACTACTCTCTTGCGACAAACTCCAGAAACAAACTAACATTTTTTTTCCTTTTTCACATGCAACCTAAAGAATATAATGATGATACAGCCCACGCGCGTTTCGTGCCGAAGGTCTTCACCAAAATTTTCGAACCGCCGCCATTTTTTTGTTGTTGTTATCTCAAATAATTTTTCATGTGTTCATTAAACCGTTTTTTATTATATGTCAAAACATAAAAATATTTTTTTCTATACTTTCGCATTTATGAATTTTTTTAAGAATAGTACCCATTTTGCGATCGCTCAGGGCGGCCAGACGCCTTAATTTTATTGTTTTAACATTTTCGTTATTCTTTCTGCTTCTGTATATATCACTAGATATAACACTAGATATTAGTAGAAGCAATATTTTATTTCGCTTTCAGATAATAAAAACTACAAAAAATCATTCAGCCGTGTTCACTTTCCAAGGTGACTGTAGAAAGATTTGAAATAGCTCAGAATTCGGCAATAAATAATAACGGATAGCAATGCATTTGCAGCAGAAAGAGCGTAACCTTTCAAGTTGTATAAAAAGAATAGGTAAAGGACAAAGAGTGAACATCGCTCTGTACGTTACTAAAGAGATATCCGACGTATTTCGGTCGACGTGCGCCGATATGCAATTGGATTTCTCGTGGATATCCATCGAACCGAATCGCATGTCCGGTGATCCTCGGTTTCGTCGAATGGCCCCTTTTTACAAGATTTCGACAGGAAATGCGCGCCTGATTCATGGGACTAATCAAGATTAATGGAAATCGAGATCAGTGGGCACGTTGAATCGCACGATTTCGCGCGAATGCATGAATCAAATGTTAATTGATCTTTTTCTTCGAAAGCTCGAAATATGATTAATATTTTATTAAACGTCCAATTTTGACTTTAGAGTGAAAGGAGACTTAAAGCATTCTATCTTTCTATGGTACTTGGATAATCGAGGTTAAGTAAACATGTTTATTATTAGATGAAGTTGAAGAATAACTGGTTATTTTTGTAGTTGATTAATGAAATAGTTATTTGTAGAGTAAGAGTGTTCATGCAAATTAATAATTTTACAGCTAGAGAAAAAGAATTGAAATTTAGATGTAAAAGTACGTCTTATCTTCTAAATGATATGCTATGTATATTATTGTTGACATTTGAGATATTTTGCATTAATATACATTCTCATAGACTTGACCATACTTCGACTTTTTGTAAATGTATAAACACCCGTAGTTTAATTATTAGTCAAATAATTACAGACAAGATTACTGAGTAATCATGTGCTTGTACATCGTAAACTGAAAGATCACTTCAAGCTATAGTAATATCAGCAATAATTAGTATTCAATTGTCTAAATATCAATGTGAAAATTTGTGTAAAAGTCGGATATATCTCATACTGTTTGTGTGTTCGATTGAAAAGAAACAGAATCCTAAGACCTTCTCCGTAAGATGCTTCACTTGAACAGTCAAATAAACATAAAGTTCAGTTAATTAACGTTAACGCATGCCTACTCAAACGCACACACATTTGTGTACGAAAAACGTTTCTCATTTGCCACTCTCCTAATTCATAATTCATTTCTCAGCCACAGAAACGGGCAAACAAAGGATACCAGAATTTAGGAGTAATTGCAATTAACGTACCTCGTAATAAAATCCCTTTGTCGAAGGAAAGCGTTTTTCCAATGATCCCGTTCAATTATCGTATTCATTAATCTCGAGTTGAGCACTGTTCTCGTCTGTACAATCTCGTCGTTGAGTTTTCGAAGTTCTAAAATGAATCAGTTTTGCGTTAATTTCTTCGAGTTTCACTTTCTCGTACATAGAAGCGAATTAGAACAGAGACAATACACAATCAGACGATTTGTCTAGACTTTGAGGTCTGTACGTTTGAGACCCTAGAATCTGTCTTATGAATAGGAATATTCATATTGCAATAAAAAAGGAAAAATAGTGTATATACTATAATCAATGATTCAGCACGTTTACTAAACTTTGTTTTACATTAAAATATTTACTCGTTTAAAATTTTTAATCGCTTATATGATGAGAAGAAATGAATGAATTCCTGTGATTTATTTATTCATTTTTTTAAATTAACTGTAAATTTGCCAATGAAATATTATTATTTTATGAAATAAGAACTTTTCCAAAGAGAGACTTTAGAATTTTGTTTTTCTAATACCACACAAATGGTGTAGAGCACAATCGATTCTTTCATTTTAAATGAATGTACTCATGATTGCAGAAGCTTGTGTTGTACGGAAGTTTTCTATATGACTATCGATTTATTATTTCATTCATGTATTTTCAACTTCCCCTCGTTAGCATGAGGCAAATAGCAGACTGCTACCACGAATCTGCATCAGGTCACATCACTATAACGCGAGGAGGGCTTCCTAGAAGTTTCGCTTGACTTGTTAGCGCTGAACAGGTTGTAGCTTACGCGAAACGTTCTCAAATTATCGCGATCGAATTACTCGCCCGAATATCGATCAAGAGATTTGCTTTCCCCTCGTCACGGGGTAACCCCGTTCTCCCGCTCGAAAATTTATGAAATTCGATATACCTACTCGCACACACTGGTCGTATAAATCCTTAACACGTTAAATAAGTTTGTCGTGCTTCATTCCTTCAGGATATTTCGTTCACGATCGAGTTTCGCCAACAAACATGTTCCAAGTTGCTCGAGGGTACTGCACCATCGGAATCTCGAAGTCAACAAGTTTTTGACTTCCTCGGCGCAAGGAAGCGTCGTGGTTTGATTAGAAAAACGAAAGGAAAAATAGCAGAACTCTTCGGGAATTGGGGATACGTTTGCGAATTTTATTTTATTCTTGAAACTTGTTCAAGGTTAATGTACTTATTTTTCTAACGGATGAATACTTATTATTATTGTATATAATAATGTGCATACGGATAATAGAGGGATTTTTGAAAGGGTTTTTAGTTGTGGTGGACTAACGCTTGTTGAAGTCTTTGTATTTAATTGTAATCATATGCACTTTCTTTTAAAATAAAAAGAAATGCAACATATTGTTAGATGTACATGGGATATAACTCTCACGCAATTGTCTTTCCAACAAAGTACTTGATATTTCGTTTTTTGCTTACATAAAGACTCTATATAGGGTGTTTTGCTATTCTCATGCTGTTACACCCTGGCTAGCGTTTTTCTCGCAAATAGTAAGGATTAGATAAAAGTGAAAAAAGAAAAAGTTTGAGAGTTTCTTATGACCAATACAATAGCCTATATCAATTTTTTATATTTACAATATTTCTGCCTCAATTTTATAAATTAATTTTATAAATTTTGTAAAGGTGAATTAATTTTTTAAATAAAATGCTACATGTGCTACGTACTTTCGTTTAAAATTACTGCACTGAAAAATCATAAATTCAAGTATCTAAATTTCTGATCATTTCATGTAAGGAATAGTAGAAAGATATTTTTATAATTACATTTGGCTTTCACAGAACGTTTAAAAAAAATCAAATGACTCGACAACTTAATGAACCTCAGTTTCCCATTAGTCTATGTGCACAATTAACGTGTATTGTGAAGTAGACAATAGAAAACGACATAGGAAATGGCGACCACTACAGCAATTTACCTTGGATTTCGTGTTTCGTGCGATTAAATTCAACTTCCTGTTCGGTTTGGACCTGCAAGTTGGTTTCGAAAGCTCTTTCTAGCTGGAAAAACTTGGTTCTCAGTTCGTGCAGATTTCTACGCAATTCCGACGCTTCCGATTCCCTTTTTTGCAATTGCTTCTCGAGATACCGCTGCCGCGTGGCCATCCTTTCTGCAATTACTTTAATTAAGTCTACAACGGACTTTTGCTATCAACCCAAGGAAACGATGTTTGTCGTTTTGAAACCCAAACTTTCCCTATTTCCTTTACCTGAAAGTGAACGATATCGACGCGTTATACCTATCGACCGAGACTTTCAAACTCGTTCGCGTGAACTGGGCTACGTTTTACGACAGTGATCCTCAACCATTCAGTTGCATCGTGCAGATAACAAAAATTATTTATGTCAAAGATAAGATTTATCTTTGTCTGTCATTCGAAAATTCCAAATAGTCCTGGTTGAATTTATTTGACGAATAACGGAGAAGTAAAAACTTGTCCAAAAGGGATTGTAAAATATTATTTTTTGATATAATACAAATATTATTGAATTAAGAATGATGTCGTCGTTACATTTAATTAAAGGAAATTTTCACAAAGACAGATATTCATTTTATTTGACGAGGGTTTATCTGCATCTTCGAATAAGGTTTTCATCGAAGATATTCGAAAGCTTCGACTAAATAACGAACATTAATAAACGACATCAGCATTTGTCCGTTTATAAGGTGTATCATTAGATTGAATTAAAATTATTCTTTAAATCTTTTACGAAGTCATTTTATAGTATCAAATTTCCATTCGCGAATATTTTTATTAAACATTTTGCAGTATACTTCGAAAACGTTGAGAACCACTGCTTTACGAGTTTAGGAAACAACTGTGTTCCTTTGCGAAGCGCGAAACTTTTCTCTTTCGAGACGCAATCGAGGGATGAATTTTTCTCAAAAGGGATCGCAGAGTAATTGCAATTTGTATACTTCAATGTTAATAAACATTGGACTATATCAATGTAGGTTCATAAAATAAGTACTTGACGAGGTTTTTTAAATATTTCAATTAATTATCACTTGATGAACGTAACAATGTGTCTAATGGACAAATTTGAAATACCTCGTACAGTATCTAGTTAAATATTGTATATTAATGACGGAATTTTCGGTTTACAAGTTCCTTTCCCCGTGCAGTGCTTAATATAATTAGTATTTTACATTATGGAAATTTTCAGTACTCAAATCATGTGCAAAACTGGGCGCAAGATGACATTAATTAAATTTTAAATATTCGTGAAATTATATTAAATTAACAAATATGATGACTGGTTAATCAAAAAGATTATTGATCGTAGATATTTCTATAATCTATGAAAATGTGTTTTCCAATATCGTGGTAATATACTATATATACTTAATTCTTGATAAATGTGAATATACAAAAATATACAAGAATTTGTACAAGTGCATAAATATTTAAAATACGAAAAATAAAATTCACGTTTCAACATTTAGAAAACAAAACATACTTTAATTTACGTTTCCGTTCTGCATTTTTAAAATATAAATTTGCATGAACATCCACAGTCTAATAATGTGTAATTATGAGGTTCTGGTACGTTCACCTTGAATAAATATCGTTGTCATCGTTGTCACAAATCGGAAGTAATTTTTGGTTTGCCCCTTTCCTGCGTGAGAAGATCAAAACCAGCAAATGCTTCGCGTAATCGTTGTTTGGACAAATCACCGACTCTTGATTTCCCAATCGAATTGACCTCACGAACTTAGGTTCGGTTATATACGTCGACGGAGGCTTAGTTTCCTCTTGAAGTTGGGCGCAAGCGGTCGACCAGGGCAATCGACGAGGGTAATCGATTAGAAAGAAGCAAACACAAGTTCGATGGTCAACGTTTAGTTATAGCAGGACCCTTCTAATTGAGTGCTTGTAATTTTGCGCCAATTACGCGTCTTGTTTGATTTTGTATGAACGACTATCTTCGTTCCTTTGTACGGGGAAATGAATCGTATAAGCATTGGTAATTAAGCAATAAGCGACCGATAATTAAAAAGCACTCAATACTCCAGTTTCGTCTTTCTTCTTTTGTAACAAGAAAGTTTCCTTCTGTGGTAAAATTATAGGTGTTGGTCTTAGTGATAATTGCAATGATTGTGTTCTTCTGAACAGGTGTAAACTATTATCTCGTTACAGATTTTCATACTGTACAATAGAAACGATACCAGTTATTCATAGCTTGTAGATGTTTTTTTATGAGAGTCGGGAGAAAGGAAATATTTTTTGTAGAAGTTAGGAGTGAAAATTATTGTTAACGAGAAATTAAAAATTTTTTATGAGGATTTGAGAATGGGAGGAACCACCGAAACATATCATCAAGCTGAATTCATTACCACACCTCAACAACAAGGTATATACCATGTTTAAAGAGAAAATAAATATTTTAAATAGCAACGAGAAATATAATATTGGTTAATTGAGCTTACATGTCTACCCCCAAATTTCACAAATTTAGCCATAACATACAATAGTTTGCGTCTCAGGTACAAGATTGGCTCATGAAACAAACCAATTTCGTGCAAGAATATTCTATCAACGTTTGAGCGATATGAGCGAGTGCTATAATTAAAATATTTAAATAAGATGTGGCACGCAACGAACGCTCATTATCAAAATACTTTACTCGAAGGACACGCGACGGAGCCGGAAATGATCTTCTCTGTTCCACGCTAATGATTCTTCCATTCTCATTTTTCTGCGTCGCGACGCCACCGTCGTTGACGTCCTCGGGCTTGTTCCAGTTATGAAATATGCGGCAGCGTTATGAGCAGACGGTCACCGCAAAAAGAACAGAAACACGATACAATGCCATGGCGTGTATAATCCTTTATGCGGATTTCGCATCCCTTACCGATCGCTAGAGATATTTCCAGGCGTTCCACACTTTTTCTCGCGCGGAGACGGTGGCCATATTTTTCGGGAAATCGGATTTTACTTTGATTAAAATTCCTACAGTGGGCCATGATCTTGTTAAATACATTCCAACGGCAACAGAGTGCGCTTAAAGCAGCTTAAATAGTAATCGGAGGGCTTAGTTCTGAAATTTCTTAAGGGGGCGCACACAATTGTCACAACTGTGGCAATTGTCACAGCTAAGTATGTTTATGAACATACATACTTTTTCCTGTTAAAGAATTATAAAAATGATTGGTAATTTTAAATATTTTAGAAAATTCCTTACCAATACATTATTGCTTCGAATAGATACATTCATATTATAATCTAAATGAAACTATAAGGATGATTTAATCTACTACTGCATTGTAAATTATTTATCGATATGTTTTATTTGCATACATGTATTATCTATTTATATGTATTTGTATACATCTATTATTTATTTTATTTGTATATATGTATGTATCACATTATACGATATGAGTGAGATATGTATGAACTACATTTTCATTATACAATATACTTATATTATCTAAAGTCAATTATCATTTCAAGAAGCTACACGTATTACAAATACATCATTTGCATCATTACTTTATGCAACTCAGCCAATTATGGAAACATAGGGTGTGCTACATGTTATTTATTCATCTTACTCTAAAAGTGGTTCATTGTTTGTCATTAATTATCACACTTGTTTTAAAATATATTTTCAATTACAACTATTTCATATTTCATTCCATTTGTTTTCTTTCTTTTCACCTTGTTATTTTTATTTTTCACTTCCACGGAATATAAAGCGCGGTTTAAAACGAGAAAAGTACTTAAAAATCTTTTTAAAAGTGAAATGTTCCACGGTAGCGTATCAAGGTATTTGTATTTATTGAGACATTTAGAATCAATTAAAAGTTCCCGCGCCGCGATAAAAAAAGTTTTCGTTCTTAGAAGGAATTGTTCTTTTACAACTTTGCGCCTTTTATTTGCAGTTACGGAATCGAGTGTTGCCTGGTGTTTCATTAAGGTTTTCTTTTCAGGCACATGTGCACACGATAGCGGAAAAAGTTTCCCTGTACGCGAGCATGTTGGTGACTTCGAAATCAGTGAGTTACTCCACCTTAATAACTGACTGTTCATACTATTTCGATTAATATCAATATTGTAACACTGGTTGCGTATTTCATTAACTCGAGTATTTCATTGCCTATAGTTTACATAATGATATTGGTTTCCCTGGAACTTTGAAATTAATTTTCCCTTGTGCTTGTTAGTTACATAATTTATATATAGTAATTAGTTTGTAGAAGGAGTCATAAAAATATAAAATACATATATCTAATATAAAATAATATTTATAGACTGTCTACAAAATATTTAATAAAATATAAAATCATCTTCCATAGTATATTATTAATTTAAAATTATAATTGATTAATAGGGTGTAGATTACTGAATATTCACTACATAACTTTTAAACTTACGAAGAAGACCTGTCGAAGTCGAAAACGTTTTGTATTTTCTTTTGCAGGCTAACTATCATATGAAAAATCTTAGAAGTTCTCACTTTATTTTCTCATAAGCTTCATAAAAATATAAATTGTCGACAGAGAATAAAGTAAATTCACACAAAACGTAAAGATTCATTTTCAAAACAAGTGTTACAGTTGCCCGAGCGACACCTGTCGTTCGGTCGTATGTAAAGCGACAGTCAGTCCTTGATAGAGAGCCGCACGGATCAGACAATAGGCATAATTACTCATCTGTACATTCATTTATTACCAATAATAAACATTAAATAATACAACACAAGTACCATAGTCACTTTATTTTGAATTTAATTAAATCAATATAATAGCTGCAGTACGTTTACTAGTTGCATTAATAGCATGTTAATACTATGTATTAAATACTAATACTGATACTAATACTAATAATTAAATACTGTCCTTGCACAGTGTCATTGGACGATCTTTAACAATATATTATATGAAAATAAAAAGAAATTGTGAGACTGGTTTTTGTTTCTAGACACATGTGCACGCAATAGCGAGAAAAGTTGTGGCGTGTGCGGGAACGTTGGAAAATCGAAAATCAGCGATTTTCTTATCCTTAATAAAACCCGTATGTACACGCCGCTTACTCTTGCATCAGCGAAAGCTTCATATGAATTTATCGCGCGCAATAATCTCGGTATAATATCAGTAT